TAATCAATTTATTGTTCGCTCTTCTCTCCTGCCAAAAGTTTCCTCATTCTCAGTTTTAGTTTTGAGTTTGTGGGTTGTATATAGATGAAACTAATTGATGAAAATGAAAACTAATGAAAATGGCTTGAAAACTTTGAGTTTTAATGATAAGGACAAAATAAAGGGTAAAGTGAATAGTACCAGGATTGACTTTTTAGTGTAAAAATGTGATTTTTCGTTAAAGTGAACAGTACCGGGTGCTTTTCGTTAAAGTTCCCTTGATGAAATTGAAAGTTTTCAATTTTCGCAGTTTGGGCTACTTAAATTAAACATCTTATTTTTATTTGGGTTATTGAAATGAAGAAAATGAACATTAATCAAATGACAAGATCACATTCACTCGCACGGATCACAGCCCAATCCCAAAATACAATCTGCACTCATCAGACATATTCTCAAACACCGTCCAAGACGGCAAGACCCATTCTCCAAACCACCTTCCGGGTTGTTTTCTTTCAATTACAAGGTTGTCGTTTTCAATTTCATTTATGGATTAATTAGTTGTTACTGTGTTAACCAAAGCAAACAAGGATAGTTAGCCATCAACTTTCAATTTTCTCTATCTTCGTGTGGGGCCAAGGGCTAAGAAATTGAATATGTTGGGCCAAGCGTTTGGAGTAGTTTCCCTATTAATATTTAAACTTAATACATTTCATTTATTGTTTAAAAAAATTAAAATACATTTCATTTACAAGTAAAGAAGAATATTACTAAATTAAAAAAAATGCCCTTATTAACTTTATTACATAAGTCTCTCGTCTCTTCGTTACCTAGTTGTATGCATGAAAGTTTCATTTGGGCAACAAGAAGCTGATGAAGTCAAAATTCATATGATCCACCCCAACCTCCCAAGAGTCATCGATCGGATAGGCAAACTCATAAGAGGATCCATGGTTATCACTTCCAGGCAACAGTAACAATGACGCCAATGTAAACGAGTTATGATCATCTAAACTAGGAAAAATCATCTCATTTGCAACATCTACGCTATCACTAACGTAGTTGTTTGCATTTGTTGTTTGATGATTTTGCATGTGTTTGATGACCTTGCATAACTTCGGCCATACCAACATTGTTGCTCTCATTCACCGCTGTTTGAAGATCTTCAACTGGAGCCACTGCCACATCAATGTTGTTGTTCAGGTACACAGTTGTTTGATGATCCTTTTCAGCTTGGACACCTTCTAGATTATCAGTACTATGACTTTCATCCATAACGTCGACGTCGACCGCGATATTATCTGTTGTTTGATAATTATATTCTAAAACTCGCGGTACAACAAACGATTCAACCCCAAAATCTTGCAAAGGATCATATGGTAATCCTGGGGGCAACCGGACGGGGTTGTGCGTTGTTGGATGAGTTAAAAGTCGCATAGCATCCCTTCTAGCTCGGAGAAGCTGCAAAAATGTTAAACCAACAAACAATTAATTCAATGAATTGTCATGATGTGGTTGTAAATGTTATAAGAATGTACTTGAATCACTCACGTCGTAGGATCCAAGCTGATCATCTTTAAACAACATAACTGTATCCCCAGCGCTTAATCCATGCTCCTCAATTAAGCTCCCTGAAATAATTAATAATAATTAGAATATCCTCAAAACTGATGATGAATATTATATGATAACATTTTACAATTTAATTTTTTTTTTAAAAAGACGAAAAATTAGGTAGGAAGTTGGCTTGATATTAACCTGAATCTGGGAGTCCAAAGTTGCAATAGTTCATGTCGTCGAATTGTAAGTGGAGCCATACTCCTCCTTCCTTTTGTTCAAGGACAGAGTAATGGAATTCTGCTTCTCTCTAAGCAACACATTTGGTCATGAAATTCAAAACAACAAAATTAATATATGTATTGTCTCATAATACACAAATTATATTATTCTAGCACATTAACCATTAATGCTAAGATAGCCAAACATTTTTAATTTAGGTTTTTTTTTAAGAAAAGAATAAGTATAAAGAAAAAAAAAACATAAGAGTGTAAGATGAGAAAAACCTTTTGCACGGATATGAATATGGCTGGCCAATTCCACTGGAGCTATAACATAAATATATATATATATAATTCTTTTTCTAAGTGGGATAAAATTATGGAATTAACTTAATTAATAGTTAATAAATCAGTAATATTAAACCTAGAAAAGGCAGAAATAACATGCCAACAAAGAAAAACTCCAAACAAGTAAAATGATAAATTTGGAAAGCAATATAAGCATTTCGATTTTAAAAAATATTAAAATAACGACATGTTAAACAAATTGAAAACAATAACGGCATTTTTGACAAAAATAAAAAATAAATAAATAACGGCATCATAACTCCTTAATTGAACTTTCTCAAAAAAAAAAAAAAAAACTCCTTAATTAAAGTTTGGAACTGGATCGATAGCAATTTCTTCTTTCCACACCCATTAGTATAAATATATCGTTATTTGAAAAAAAATTAAAAAGACATTAATTAATGTTTAGTAAAAAGCTTTCTGAAAGAGGACGAAGGAATTTTAATCTCAGAGAAAGAACATTTTTTCGAGAAAACCCCATAAATTAATATGTATTATGAAAAAACTAATAGATCATCACAAGATAGCTTACCCGACGTGGAGTCGGAGGAGGATCAGTTGAGACAAGCGTTTCGCAAGAAGCTAGTTGTTGAACCAGCTGGTGATCCTCAAGGATCATTTGGTACAGCTTTCGCCTACGCATATGCCCGCCATTTCTACTTCTTTTGATCATATTAGCTTCAGCACCAGCTGCAACTTTGTTCTTCTTGGAAACATTGACCATAATTCTTAATTAATTTTCAAATAATAATATGAACTAGTAACGCTCCCCATACAAACATCTGTTTTCTCTGTCGAAAACTCTCACTCTCTTTCTCTGAGTTGTGTGATCATATGAAGGGCAAAACTTGCGGTTAAAAAGAGGGAGGAAGGTCTTAGCTGGAATTGTAAGTTTCTGAGAAAGCGAAGATTAGCGTACGTCAAGGGGTCTCATTGATCGACACCAAACAACCACACCAACTATTTGAGTGACACGCTTTACTCAGCTAAGTAACGTCAGTTGATGTATATTTTGGCTAGGTTCATTGAACCTAGCTATTTGAACTAGCAAAGTAAAGATGACAAATTTTCCTATGGGTTCAAGTCTTCTAGGGGCTTTACCCATAATGAGTTTAGTGTAGATAATATTACTTGTAAGTAAAAAAAAAAAAAAAAAAGACGAGGACGGTTTTGGGAAAATTTTTGAGTGACGAAAATGGGGTGGGGGCGAGGATAGTATGAGAACCTTTGACACAAACGCACCCCATCGGCACTTCGACCCATTGCCAACCTTAGCAAAGCTACAACATGTATTCAATATTCTCGTTTTTGTTGTTGTTGTTGTTAAGGTTTTGTTCATTATTTCATATAGAGGTGGATTGTCTGCCCTTCTATTTCCACTCTTTCCATCCATTCCTGTTTTGTGTGGTTACGGTTAAGCTACGTTAACATTTTATATTTCAACTTTTTGTTTATTATTTTTATAAAAAATCAATATAAAATGTTGACGTGGTTTAACCATGACCATACAAACAGGAGGGGATGTGAAGAGTATGGAAATGGGAGGGCAGACAATCCACCTCCATTTCATATACATACTTGTTACAGTAAAACAAGATCCTTTTAAAGAAGGATTCATATGTATTGAGCACTCAAAGACTAACCAGTTAGGGACAACTTAGGATATTTGTTTTTTAAAGAGTTTGATTCTGTTATGCTGCAAGAATATTAAATTGTAAAATAAAATAGTCGAGTGTTTGATTAAAGAATATTTTTAAAAATGATGCGAGTATCAATAACAACGTAAAAGCTTTTGGTAAACTTTAATGTAAGAATGCTATAGTTGTGTTCAATGATAAAATAAAAAATTAAAAAAAGGCTTGGTAGTGGGGTAGTGGCGACAACAACAGTGGCAGCGACGGGTGTTGGTAGGTGGTAGCTGTCACTTTGTTCTCCTTTAGAGAAAAAAATATGTATGTAAAATGATAAACAATGTCATTTTTACAAATAGAGGAATGTATAGGAATTGAAAATATTCATTAACAACTTAGCTATATTTTTAGTGACAGCAACTTCCAAAACTAACCTACTTGAGAATTTTAAAATAACCCTAATATTTTTTTTTTACTAAATATTTTTTATTGCTTAACTTTAGTAAAGTAGCTTTTCAGTGGAAAATAAATAGCAATACCAAATTGGCGTGTCATCTAACGTGACACTTGAGTATTAGTTGTATGCATCACTTACTTCATTAGATGATATACCGATATTGATTAGCTCTTGAACGCTCTTATATACATATACTTTAATATGATGATGTGATGAGTATCCTAATGTAGTCTAGATGATGGTATGGAGAAATCGAAAGAGTTGAAGATAGGGTTTGGTTGGAGCCTTTGGAGGGATGAAAAAATCGTTTTGACAAATGGGAGGAAAGAGTTGGAAGAAATTAAAGTGGAAAACAGGTGTTGTTCCAGTTCTCATTTACAAGGACACGATAATATGGTGACCATATCAATGAAGTAAACCAGCGAAGGTAGCTTCCAAATTCCAGAAAATCAGTTGGAAACGTAAAGCTTCGTGCACTCTCCACAACCACCGTCTTGGACGCTTCCTCTTTTGAAATTATAATTACCAGCGTGCCATTTTCCCTCTATTCCGAACAATCATTAAAGCCCAGTCGGGTGGACTCAGGCCCAAACGTATGAGTCCAAAAGGTGTCTCAACGGTCCAGGAGGAGACATATGAGTCCAATTAGGCAGATGAGCGGCCCAGGCCCAAGTATTTAAAAAAATCCCGTCACTCAACTCCGCCGTTAGATTATCAACAATAATTGGGAAAGATTGTGGGGACTACTCCTGATCCAACGGTGGATATTGCCGCATGGGTGCTTATCTAGAACTAGCGGATCCCTTATCCTACGCGCACTCTCTGCACCCTTTTCACTCTTCACTCTCATGGCAGCTGAGCTACAGCCACTGGAAGCTCCAATCACCGCCGGCCCGACAATTCTAACCACCACAACGACAGAACCGATAAATACAGCAACAACCTTAACTGCCACAACGGCAATAGCAACCACAACGGCCGTACACACCGCGGAGAACCACGGCCCCCAATTGGGCCCCAAACGGCAGCGCCGCCCCAGCGTCCGATTAGGCGAAATCGGCGACCAGCCTGCCGCCACTGCCTCATTTGAATCACATATGCGACGAGCCAGGCCCAGCTGGAGGCTCCCCAAGGACTCCAAATCGGTCAAGGCCCGGTCGATCACCAACCTCGTCAACGGCAACGAGTCCAACGAAACGACGCCGCACGATGAGAGGAACCAAAACGGAGACGGAGGGTTCGAGTTCGGGGGCCGGAGATTCAAGGCGAAGCGAGCCACGGGGACCAAGAGGGTCCGATCGAATTGGGCTTCCAATTCGAAGCTCGACGACGGCGGCGACAGCAGAGAGGAGGGAGGAGAGTGGTTCAGCGTGGACCCCGATCAGGATAGTCCGGTGAGGGACAGCAGCCCGCTGAACTCGGGGGAAGACACGGGGCAGGATATGTGGGATGGGCAGAGGAGGATGGCGGGAAACTGGGCTAGGGCATCGGAGAGCAGGGAGAACGACGCTGTTGAAGCGGATAACATGCCGGAATCGAATTGGAGTGGAGTGAGGTCGTGGCTGATAGAATTGGGGCTGAGCCGGTACACGCCGGTGTTCGAGATACATGAGGTGGACGACGAGGTGCTGCCGATGCTGACATTGGAGGATCTTAAGGATATGGGAATCAACGCCGTTGGTTCGCGGCGGAAAATGTATGCCGCCATTCAGAAGCTCCGCAAGGGGTTCTCGTGAGTCTGCCTTTCCTTACAATTTTTTTCTTTTTTTTTGGTTTGGTTTAGTAGAATAGTGTACTCTTTTTGTTCTTACAATAACATAATCCACAACAATGATAATCATAGTTTGTGTTGTAACATCAGCTATTTGTTCATCTTTTTTGTATTTTAATTGTTGTTTTCCCCTCAATGCAATGGTAAGGCTGTGTACGATACACGTTCATTCCCCGACCCTCGCAAAGCGGAGACCCTTGTTGACTTGGTGTCACCCTTTTTTAATTGTAGTTTTCCCATCAATGCAATGAAATTTTCTTTAGTTTTTGAGCTAAGAGTTTCGACTTGTAGTTTGTTGATGTAACACTACCATATTTTGATCTGAATAAAGTTTATGTTGAATGAGTAATTTGGAACCGGTGTTCGTTGCATCCTTCCTTTGTGTCGCCCTGCCCTGTTTTTCTACTTGTCAGTACGAACTATTAGTTGTATGTTTGTAGGTTTCTAGCAGCATGTTGCGAATTAAAGTAGCGTGGCAGTTATGTTGTTGTCGGTTGAAAAGATACATAGCTCGGATGTTAGGAAAGCTTTGTTCTCCATAGGATCATTATATTGGTATTCTTCTTTTATGTCAGGAAAGCTTTGTTCTCCATAGTACCGCCTGTAAACTTGTAACCAATAGTGTTGGCTTGAATGCTTAGTGTGATGCTATACTTCATACAAAATAGTTTGGGGGATGGGAGGAGGGGAGTTTCTTCTAGCAAATAGTATTAGACAGGAATCATTTGGAAGGGGTTATAGGAAATGAATAGTGATGGTTCACTTGTTTCTAAGCATTGAAAGGGGTTATTTATCATTTGTTAAGAAGGATGCTGTGGTGGATTTGATCCGAAAACTCAAAAGTAATGCTGTGTGGTATTGCTTGTCTGGCAAGAACTGAATCTAGTACCTAAACCCGACCCCTGTGCAGAGCATAACAACTGGTTGTGAATTTGTTTTTTCTTGTGTTTGAGGACAGGGTCTAGGAACAAGAACAAAAGAATCATAGTTTCATGAGCTACGCTAATGTATACAAAAAATCTTCAATAGATAGTTGGGTGGTCATGCAGTCTACACAGAACTTGCATGTTCCTTGGCTACGGGATGATGTAGAAGTTGTTTCTTTTAAATGATTGTGGAGCTGGTGAAATTTGAGTGTTTGAGAAACAGTGATGTTGTTAACCTACAGAGAGTGCGCTTGCGGGAAAATATTGGGCGTACTGTATTCTGTCTTGTCAGTTATTCTTGTACTAGTTATACTGGATTCTGCCTTAAATCTGGATAATTGAATTTCTTCTAGTTCGGCCTTGTTAATCTTGTCACCTGGTTTTCCATTAGCATGTCGTAAGTAGCTTAGCCATACTCCCAGTTTTCGTTGGTTCGGTGTCGGTCTACATCTCTTATGATTCTCACGCTGAAAGCTGGCCGATGAACGTTCTTTCTGATTAGGATTGGGCGGAGGAGGAAAATTGTATGCACTCAACTGGGCTGTGTGCTAGGAGGAGGCCACGGCCATTTCTTAGAAAGTCATCGTTGGTCATCGTCAACTTCAAGCAACGGCCCAGGTTTCTTGATGTCTATGAATCCTTGCGTCCAAAGCCGGTTGACAACCCATTGCCTGCGTTTTTCACGAATTCGAAAATCCAATGAATGTCCTAATTTTGTTTCGTCGTCTTCAATTTTCGGTTAGAAATGTACAACTATCTTTGCTGGATACCTTGACCATCCATGCCTTATTGCAAGCAGAAAATTGAGCTGGTACAGTCTGGTGGCTCTTGCCTGTTTGAAAGTTTTGCAGAAAATATGTATTTTGCAGATTCACAAGAAAATGGTACCACTTGATACTCTGAATTAATTAAGCTAAAAAATATAATAAAAGAGAATTGGAGACACAATTTCATTTGTGTTGTGGCCTTGTCTTGGATCTTGAAGCCCAACAAAACAATCCAAGTTGAAGTCCAAGTGCATTTGGTTGGGCATTTAAGCAAGGCACAAGGCCATACTCAAACTGGGTCTGTTAAAGTTTGGACTTAACCGCAAGTGACCCTTACCACAGTGGTTGAAAGGAGTTCAGTTCTTACATGACGATGTGGGTTCGAATTTTATCGGTGGCTAATCTAACAAAATCTATCATATAACCAAAAAAAAAAATAGTTAGGACTTAACCTTCAGCCACACAAGACACAAGGCATTTTACCATTTACTTGCACTAATTTCATGCTAATAAGAGTTGTATCAACAAATTAAGAACTTTGATTGGTGATATATCACATATTACTTGATTTCCCATAACATCGAGATGATATCATAAATCTAAGGACTACCGTATTTATTTGGTTTGATTATCAACAAAAGACAAACCAAAATTCTAACAAGTAGAAGATGCATATTCGTCGAGAGCACAATGAAACAAAAAGTTCAAGGTTATAACCATTCTATATTTGGTTTTTAGTTTTCATTTTTTTATATGGACAGAGTGAAAGAATGTATAGGAGAAATGATGAATAGAGAAAGATAAAGGGACGTGGCGGGAGAAGTGAAGAAAATTATATGGATACAAATAATTGAGATTGAAATAACTTAAAATTAAATTCTCGATGCGTCATTAGTCTGATTCTTTGTAGGAACTACCTGTAATAATGAACTTGCAAAATGAATGGGGAATCTATCATTTCGATTTGTTACTGAATTGAGTTAAGTGGATTTACATGCGCATAAAAAAAATTGTGGACATAAAACAATTAAGTCCTATATTTAAAATAAAATGAGGATGATGCGTCGTGAATGGTTGGGATAGCTCATCTGGTAGAGCAGAGGATTGAAGTAATTTCATTACCCTCACAAGCAAGATCACGTCCCTCATTACGAGCTTGTACACATAATAAAAAATCCAACAAACAGAGAAAAGCCAGCTGGAAAATCATTAATGAAGACTTCTTCTAAATGATATTTTTTTTTCATAGAAATGTATTCACTAAAAAAAGAATAGGCAACTTCCTGGATCACCTGGTAACAACCTTAGTGTTGTCATCATATCGTATTATCATACCGTTGTCGCATTTGAGTTCTTTATCCAAGTAAGATCCGAAGTATCCGCTTTATTGGGTAGAATGCCTTCCGCAAAATTTTCACTAAGTTGATTCTTAGAAAATCTTAAATCAGACCATTTACACTTCAATAAAGGAAGAGCAGGGCCTCCTTGATAGAAGAATTTTTTTTTATCTTGGTCCCAGTTCAATAGTAAACAGGTCCGAACTAATTGTGTGTAGTTTTCATTTTGTGTGTTAGTCTGACGTAGTACGAGCATAGTAAATGGGATTCAAACGTAAACCCAAGAATCCGAAAGTTGAAATCCACCAGTTTAGAAGTCTCAAATGTTTTATTATTATTCATGAATGATGATTACAATAGTAGCCATAAGGCTTGAATAGACTTAACTCGACTCTTGGGAAGTTCAGGGGAGTCTTAGGGAATGTAAAATAAGTAAATCGAACATAAAACAAAATGTTTGATTTTTCTTACAAACTTTAAAAAACTAATTTGGAAGTCTAAACCATCGGTTCTGGTCTTAAACACGATGGTCACATGGTATAACTATGAGTCTTGTCTTGCTCGCGGTTCTCTTTATAACAACATATTATATGCCCAATAATGACATCATAATATTTCTTACTGCCTTTTTTGTCGACATATCATTTCAATCCAATATCTCCTAACCATTTTTTTTTTTTTACAGAATTCAAAACATTTTATTTTCTTTATCTTTCTTCGCCAGAATTGACCCATATCTTTTCCTACATCATAGTCCATGTACATTCCTTCCACATTTATTCCAGCACTCTTCAAGTTCCTTCATTAATCTTCGTTTCTCATTTTTTTTCGAACATACTATTCCTTTTTCTATGACACGAAAAATGAAAACTAAACCTTAAAAACAAAATAGTCAATAGTCACTCTAGAGCTTGTACTAGTTAACATAAATAATAAAAATAAATATCAATAATCCCGATGTAGCTTTGAGATACACTTGGGTTAATTAATGTTATTAACCCCAAAAACCATAATACACATTGATTTTGGGGGTATTTCCCTTCTAAGTAAATTTTCTCCATCAATTAGAAGAAAAGTGGCAAGAAAAAGAAAAAAAAGAGAGTAAAAGAATGGCGAAAAAGAGGAGAGGGCCGAGGGTTTTGCATAATTGAATAAACAATGATACAACAACATGGGACCCGATCGATCGATCAAATTATGAGGAAAAACTCTCAATCAAGGAGATAATTTAACTTTAATCAAGCAGTTGTAGTCGTCGTCGTAATTGTCGTCGTCCTAGCATAGTGCAGTACCATGACATGATCAGTGGTTGAGGAGTCTGGAAGCAAAGTGAGTGCGTCCCTTCGACTCCAGATGTTATCTCTTACATGCTGCAACGTCAAGAAAGGTAGAAGCTCCTGTCCTCTAATTGTTATCTCTACCTGTTAATGTTCATATCAATCCCAATCATATATATAAACCCACATAAATACATGTACACACGTTCGCATATACGTAAATGAATTATTAATAATGAACTAATTACATGAATTAATAATGATAATTAACAGAAACAAACAAGTAAAGAAGAAACAAAACAAATGATTAGTAACGATGGGGATTTCACATGCATGAAAAAGTGAAGTTCGTAGGTGCAATCATATTATACGTGCAACTATAATTATTGTGCATGCAAGAACAACATTATGGTGCAACGCTTTTTTTCTTTTCTTTAGCCAAGTGTAATTGATAGCCATGCAGATGTTAATCGAGTATATATAATGAACTCTAAAAATTGGGTGCAATACTCCTCAGTCACACAACACACGAAAGACTTACTTTGTAACTGATTGTATATATTTTGGATTTATTTATCTATCTTATCATGTTATAAGATAAACGTAAAAAAAATTAATATAGAAATGAAGATAGCTAATAAGAAATTTTTGATAGTTATACACGTTTCTATTGGTTGTATTTGACAATTTTATTTTTAACAAACAATATTAACTACACTAAGGGGAGGAGCATGCTTACCTCACAATGTGCTAACAATAATGTGATTCAAATTCTACTTTAGTGAGAATTGAACCTAAAACCTCTCACTTACAGGTGAAGAGGAATACTACTAGCCGTAGTAACTGAGTGGCAAGTTGTATCTGACATTTAAAAACTGAGTATAAACTAAGTATTCAAAAATATACTATTGGAGCATCACATCGCGCAAACTAACATACTAAATATATTTCACTTACAATTATGTTTATGTTTTATGATCGAAAAAATATATGAGTTATCTATTAAACATATAAAAATAAAACAAAATAACTGAATATTATGCAGTGTTGAAGTCATGCTTTGTCATAAGCTTACGTCTTTTCCATGCTATGCTCCATATAAATCTTTGTAGCGTCTACTTTACCCATAAATCTATCTCAACTTTTATCGCTACTCCAACAGATTCGTCACAACCCACACCCACGGTCCCCGTCGATATATCTTATATTCCAAAAAATATAAAGGAAAAATAGTTATATGTGGAAAACCAATAGTATTACGGGCAGTATGAGGTGTTGCCCGCCATCCCACGATCTTAAACTTCCCGGATTTAATGATTAGAGGACCTACTCAGACTTTGCTGGTAAGCCAAAATCATGACGCTTTGGACTTTAATATTATACAAATAAGATACATCATATAAAATATAATGATTAAAAATATATCCAAAAAACCACGTAATGGATCCAAAAAGCACGGCGACAAATAGGCACTGCCTATCTTTTTTATTTTTAAAGGGGCCCAAAGCCGAACTATTCCAACTTTCCTATCCAATTTCATCTTCATGCACGTCTCTTTCACGTTGCTTCTGAAAACCCTAATATGAAAGGTCAATATTCCTTCATGAAGCAGCTTCCGCCGTATGATCTTCTTTGGCTAATAAGATAGACGTGTTTAACTAATAATATAATCTCTAATACACTGCTTAAATTCTGGCAAAACGAAGTTTTTAAAGTGTCGTTCTTATATCAGCTAACAGGGAATATCCTTGTATTTGTTTATTGTGCATGCATCGCATTCACAAACTGTAAAGTATTCATTAAAGTTTATGGTTCTTATCTGTCTCTCGTTGATTTTATTTTTGTTCTTTTATGAATAACTTGATTGGAATCGTTCTGTTGCATATTTACTAACTCTTATGCTTCATATGTGTGTGTGTGTATATATATATATATATAAATTTTGTGTCTATATATTCAAGCTTCGGTTTGGTTTAGGATGATGATGGGGTATCTTTTAAATTCCATGCATCAAAGTGCAGCACTTAAGGTTCTGATGGGCCTTTTTAAGAACAAACAATGCAAATTAGAAGGCCCTACAATATTAGCTGTCGAATGGAAAAGATGAAAGATGAGTTCAAAGGAACGAAAGCGTGACGAGAGAGAGAGAGAGAGAGAGAGCGCATGCAATAGGTTTTGAGAATGACAGGGTCCTGGTTTGATTTTTGAAACCCTAAAATATAATTTGGACCGACCGATATGTGTTATTATCAACACTTTTTTGTATGGTATTAAGTGTCAACTGGCCACGATAATCCAAGATGATCGAACATGTTTGATTGCAAGAGCTTAAAGTCAAGGAAGGAATTACAAAAAGGAAAAGGTTGGAAGACATCCCACCATTGATTATTGCACTAGATGTTATTCATGTCCATAAAATATAATTTATCATGCTTCTCATGGATTGTGGCTAATCATCACAAAATATATTAGATATGTATGGTGCATGCCTAGCTAGCCATCTAGTGTGAGAGCAAACCAAAGAACCCAACAGATCATATGTTGATCATCTGAGAATCATATCATCTACAGAGAGAAAGAATCTTAAGTTAACGCGAGAGTATGTATTTATTGTACATGAAGACTATAAGATTATTTTTATGTAATAAGTTAGAGCTCATCTTTCACAAGTACTTATTATTAGCCTAATCATTGTGTATTTAGTTGTATGCCAGGTGTGAAGGGTTCGAGTTGGCTTTCCGGACGGCTTGTAATTTAATTTATTTTTTCCCTAGTAAAATTATGAAGCAAGGTATTCACACTTCCCTGGGCGGTGGATATATCCTAATGGACAAAGAAATTGTCAATTCAATGATGTATGATTGACATATATATGACAAAGTACGAGAACTAATAATAAAATAAGGATAATATTTGCATGCCCATTAGGGGATGCACATATCTTGTAGAAAACTTCATTTTAATCCTTAGAGAAAAGATGACTTTCAGATTAAAACTATGAGTAAGATCAAAATCTAATTTTAGTCCCTTAATACATTAATAACCTTATTTATTAATTATACTTTGATTTTTAATTATTTCTCTTTTTATTCCTAATTTTTAATGTATTAATTTTATTTCATTATAATTATAATTTTTATTTCATTTATCGTAATATATTTTGTTGTAAACATTTAGATAAACTAATTTTTGTTATAAAATATATTTCGATGTACAACTTTGTCTTCTTCTTTTAGGTACATTAAATTAATTATAATACATTTTGGTGCATACATTTCGGTACATACATTTTGGTACATACATTTCGATACAAATATTTGGGTACATTAATTTAATATAATACATTTTGGTACTAACATTTTGGTGCGTATATTTCGGTACACACATTTAGGTACATTAATTTAATATAATACATATCGGTGCATATATTTCAGTACATACATTTTGATATTAACATTTAAATACATTAGTTCAATATAATACATTTTAGTACTAACATTTAGGTACATTAATTGAGTCTTTCAAGTTTGAAGAATGTTACATAAAATTAATAAATTAAAAAACTCTTTTTTGGTCAAAAAATAAATTAAAATTGGTACGTTAATAAATTTAAATATTTAATGGGAGACATTAAATAAAATGCACATTAATTATTTTGAATTAAGGACACATCAATGGTTTATAATCAATATGTAATCTAACACCAGGTTTATTTTAAATTTCAATCTTCTTGAAGGATTAAAGTTAAAAAACCTCTATATCTTAATTGCGAATAATGTATCTTGAGCATATAAACTCAACAATCATAATCGTTCTTTTTCTTAATTGTCATTTGAAGATCATTCCTATAAAAAAAATCATTCAAATCGGAAATTATTTAATCATCCAAACATATCAAATAAAGGAATGGTTCATCATGAATATGTTGCTTGAACCTACACCATTGATTTGTTATAGATATTTGAATAACTAAATGATCTTCGATTCAAATAATTTTTTGTAGGAATGATCATCAAATAAAGATTAAGAAATTAAAGGGTTTTGATTATAAAATTTGTATAGTGAACATCATTATTTGCATGGGGAAATCAGATCATCTCTTCAAGGAGGAATGCAAGGATTATTCATAAAATAAAAACAAGGAGAATGTTTAGTGTGTCACACATCCTAAATAATTACCATATTTTATTAATATGGTATAGAATGTGGATGACAATCTCAAATGTAGTTGAGGGGTACTTAATATATGGGTGCATGAAATCACTATCTGCAGAGTTTGATTGTTGGTTGTTGCATACAGCTTAATTAGCTGTTTTGTGAAGATTGATTAATGTTATAAGATACTGTCTCCATCTTATCACCTAACATGGGGGCATGTAGTACAAAGAACTAAACGAAGAAATGTATCAAAAGCATAGTAAAACATTTGACTAGTAAAGATAACGTTTTGTTGATTTATCATTCTTTCAACTATTTTATATTTTAGTTTAACTTAAAACTGTTAAAGATGTGGAGTCAACAACTAATTTTCCCCTAACTTGTATATATTTTGACAAAAAATTGGATCGAACTTAAATGGCAAAACTTGTTTAGAGAAATTTTTTGAAACGTCATATATAAGTTTATACCCAATTTTTAGTTTATAAGCGATTTGTCATATCAAGTATCGAAAATTATTAATTTATCATCTTACCCTAATTTCGTTATGCTTTCTATCCAAAATAAGCCATATGCAAGCACATATCTTATTTTCAAGGTTATTTCGAATATTCAACTTCCTACTCCGATCCCCTTCAATATTATTTTGGACATTTCACGGTTATTTCAAACATTTTAACTCTTCTTTTTTATTTTTTTATGAACATGATTGACTACGTTGAATTATCAACACTTATAATTAGTTAAATTCCATAAGTGAGCCTAAAGTACTTTTTTAGTTTTCCACCATAAGTTTATAAAACGAACATGAAATATTTCTTTCGGACCAAAAGGCAAAAGATAAGTACCGAACTTGTAAAAAAAAAAAAATCAAAAGTTAAAAATTAATTTATCGCCCATCCCTAGTGTACATATATCTTTGTATAAAAATAATAACTAAATAAATAAACTTGTGACAAATGAGGTCAAAAGTTCAAAAAATCATTTTTTTGATGAAAAACTTTAACAGAATTAAAGTAAGATGACAAATTAATAATTTCAAAAAATTTATATGATAAATTGCTCAACATTTCAAAGCTTTTCGTACTTATTTATATGAAAATTGGCATGTAGAGTACGTCAAACAGCTTGATCAGTACACACACACACACACACACACACACACACATATACATCCCTATCTATTTTTTTTATTACGAAAAAACTAATTAATTGGGTAACTAGATATCATATGCGTAAAATTATAGTTTTTTTTATTATCTAAAGATGCATATGATATATAATTTAGGTCAAGAGAAGACAAATTCAACTACACCACTACGTGGTTTTCGTTATTAAATTTATATTCCTTCAGTTTTGATTTCGTTTTGTATCCTCAATGAAGAGATTCAATACACTAGGGTTTTAGTGTAAATTACGTAGTAGTTTCTTGTTATTTTCTTCTTGATACTTTGTTGTGACATACGAAAGTATAGTAATTAAGTACATATGGTATACGTACCTTTGAATTGAACTGAGTTAGTTTATTATATATATTTATTTTATTATTGATTTTTTTTGAAAAAAATAGGAAGTGTTGATGGACCTACTACATAATGTATCTTAATAACTTGAACCTTACATATAATTTTAATGAATTTTTAAATGTTAGATCATTCTTACAAAATATTAGCTAAATTTAAAATGGTCGAGACACCTAATTGTAACGGATGATTGCAACCAAATATATTAACCAAGGAAATAGTGAGATTCATAATGAAAAAAAAGGGTAAACGGTTTCGAGTTGAATTAATTTTTGGCAAATATGATCTATAAATAGAGGCTTAAATAATAGATTACTCGATTGTTATAAACTTATAAGTTGTAAACAATGATTAGTGGACCTCGCAAAATAGCCTACAATAAATTAATGGGGATATCTCTCCTGAAGGCTACTTATATATAGCAGCTTTTAAAGAGGAATGCTGCTCAATGGAAATTATTACCACATTATTATATATATTCATACATTTTCGGTTTAAAATCTAGACTTAAACACCTAATGTACGATCATATATGGGTGATAACTTAAACCATTTTTGCTAGGCCCGTCAACACTTCCATTTTCCATTCCCACAATCTTCTTGTATACCTAAAAGCAAACTAGCACCCCTGTATAAGTTTATAATTTATTTTTATTTATTAATTTTATGCTGTTGACATATATTACTTACAAACCAGTTTTTATTCTTCCAAGCCACTACTTTTTATTGATTCACCGAATTATCCACTCAATTATTTTAATTTGAATATACATACTTACTGAGGAAGCAAAAATAATTCAGCAAAAAGGTTGTATTCAACGATCCATTTGTTATAAATTAAAAGTATTGCATATAGCTTAAACTTGCATGCATGGAATTTAAATATCTCATAAACATATCTACATGCATGCATTATCCTCGATTTTTTTAAATATTTTTTTTGGCATTCTGCCTCAATTTTAAATAACATAAATAACAGCTGACTTAGGATCATTTAGGCCTTCACGCAACATTTAGTATAGTATTGAATACTACTGAGGTTTCATTTTATTTATCTTTAATTTATGTTTTACTCATTAAGCTGTTAATTAAAATTCCATCATTAACTTTCTTTTTGGTCAAGATTTTTGTCCTACGATCCATGATCAATGAACTAAATTAAACTTTACTCATTGCATAAAGAATTTTATAATTTTAAGAAACCTAGGTAGTTAATAGTCCGGATGCAGTATGTTAATCAGTTAAGGTACAATTAATTTGTTCACGTACGTACGTTAAAAACCATGACTTCACTTGTGCAAAGCTTAAAGTCTGCTTACATTGGTACGTTATAACATGAATTGTATACACCTATTTTTGAGATAAAGAAGAAATTTTAACTTCAGCATCTCATTCACCTATGTAATGCTTTTTGCATACTTTTCTATACCAGTTTAAAACCTGTCATGGTTTCTTAATAAAAACATTAATACTTTTTTAATACGGAAAAAAATAGAGGGAGTCGCTAATAGGGAACAAATAGTGAAGGGTACTGGCATATATATAGGTTCAAAAGTGTTCAAATACTACATCTTATTTTAAGACTATCAGTATTAGATATTTAAATATAAATTTACTGTGAAATTTTGATAATACGATAGATTTGTTTACAAATTGTGGTGATTAAATTTCAGTATATTTAATCTATTCAAAAAGTAAATCAAACATATCAATCCAGGGCACGATACTCATTCCATCTATTTGAAGTGAAAAAATTCCAAGTGAATGTTTATGCAATATGTATACGTACACAGTAATTGTAATATGGGGGGAAGCCCTGGTTTTAATTTGCAGCAAGTTTATAAGCTAGTGCTCAAGTAACAGCTAAACCCCATTTCTGATATAGCGTTTAAGCGTACAGCTTCACTGCAGGTTCAATCATCGTCCGATTTAGTGTCTTGATAAGAAAGAGCTTGCTCTTCTTTTTTGCCAATCCGTTGTTTCTTTTTTACTTTACGTGTTTCTGTCTTTGGTATATATGGTTTTTCTTTATGTTTTTTTAATATTGTTCGTGCTTTATTCTGCTATCCATATATGCAGATATATATTGCCATTTCAATGAAATGTTACTTTCATTTATTTTTAGATATGAAAGAGGAAACCCCTTTATCCAAAGACGAAAGGCCATTCATTTCTCTCTACCATTAATTTTGAGGTTTGAGCAAAGCAGGGGTAGGTAAAGTACCTCTTGGCCAGTAAGTATGCTATAATCTAGATAACATCTACCATTGAACTCTACTCTTACTTAATTTCCATCACCAAATTAAACACTCCGTAACTAACTAATAAACACAAGCAGATGACCCAGTTTAGAGAGACATTAGTATTTCCCTTTAATACAAAAAAAGCTAAGACCTAAATACACTCACCACCTAAATATGGTTTTATTAGCTTAAGAAGCAAATAGCACTATAGAACCCCATTTTAGTTCTGCTGTTTCTATCATCTCTCTAACACCAACCATGTGCTCATACCTAGTTACTGGACAAAAACAAAAGGTCAATTTTCTGTATATATGTTATTTATTAATGTTTGTCATCATGTTTTCTTCCTCATGGTGTTAGTTAAGTTAGTAAGCAACATTACTGAAAGGTACTAACAAAAATCCACTATAATTTTTTGTAATTTAATACTTTTCGATTCAATTTATATTGAAGTGTTTATGGTAATATACATACCTCTGATTCGCTTTCCAGTCTCAGCTTATTAACCAGATACTTCTTTATCAACCGAACTGTCATTTTTCCATCCCTGAATTTCCACACACAAGAAATTAATAAAAATCGACAAAAGGAAAGAAGTATGGTACAAACAATAGTAATTAATTGAAGATGAGAAAATGAAAAAAGAACTGGTAGGAAATGGAGGGATAGAAGATGTTACTTGATTCTTAGGTAGCTTTTGGGTATCTGGGGCAAGAAAGGTTCTTTTGCTCTGCATTGACAAACCGATTAATTAAAAACGCTGTTTCATCATCAATATTTCCCAAATTGATTAACAAAGAAACAAAAAGGGAAGAAGACCAATACTGGTAAACCTTTTTTTTTTTAAACAAACCTCGACTGCAGGAGGGGAAGTTTTCTAAATCCAAAAACGAAAGATACAACTACTCAGGGGGAGTTTTATGCAATAGTACTTACTGATTTTGGGATGCTTGGAGCGTAAACCAAATGCCGGATTGGGGCCTTCTCGGAGCATCAACAACTCTGAAATCTAAGCTTGGCCCGGTGACATTAAATTCACGAAGAGGACGATGGAATGGGCGTGCAAAATAGGATGAACCCAGTTCTATAAAAGAAGAAGCAGAAGAAGATAAAGAAGTAGAAGCCATCATCCCTATATTATTATAAGGGATTGCTGGCCTAAATGCCCAGTTAACCTCCTGGTGAGGAAATAAACCGGACGAGGAGCTACTCATTCCTGGCCCCGGTTGCTGGAAATATAAAGACGTAGCGTTACTCGAAGAAAAATTCGAATTAAACGGAGGCCTGAAAGACAGATTCGAAGGAGGAGCACGGAGAATATTTTCATGTTGAGGAACATGAAACATTGGAGGCATATGTGGCATGGACCTCACTTGCCGTAATGACGAAAAACCACCGTGATCATGGCCTGGTGGTAACAGATCAAGATCAAGTTCAACCAATCCGGGACCAGAAGGAGTAGTACTACTTGGTAAGCTTCTGAGGGTTGGATGTTCCCCGGTCGCAGGTTGGTTGTTGTTGGAGCCGCCGCCTATAGTCAATTGGAGCCATGTTTCGTTATCTTCCGGAGCATCTCTAGAACTCGAACCCGCTTCGTTTACGCTGTTAGTTCTCGACTCATCCTCGGCCATTGGATCAATTCCCGCTAGATGATGATGATCAGATTCAGTAACAATATTATTGCAATAATAGTTATACTCATAACCTTCTTCTACAACTTGACTAGTACTCATAAGACCGAAACTGCTGATCTCCGCCGTGTAATTGGCACCACAACCACCATAAACGCCGTAGAGATTGTGTTGTTGTTGGTTGGATATGTTTTGATGATGAGCAGCAGCAGGAACCATGGTCAGTTCGGACTATTGACCGACCCCAAATAATAGAAGTTTGGATTGTTCTTGAGATTGCAGGAATATTGCTTGGTAGTCTCAAAAACTTGAGCCATGGAATATGAATAATAAAGAAAATGATTCTTGAATCTGGTGTTTACGTGCCATGGGAATGTTTTGAAGTAGTGATTGTGAGAGGGGCACCCATGAACGTTCTGCAGCTGACCATGTGGGTTTGTGTTTGCTGCTGTTTCATCCTAGAAGAGAATAAACCTTGCAAATCTCACTTTCCATTAATTCTAGTTCTTTGGAAGCTTGCGGACATATGAAACAGTTGCACAGAGAGAGAGAGAGAGAGAGAGAGAGAGAGAGAGAGAGAGAGAGAGGTGAATAGAAAAAAGAGAGAGAAGAGATGGTGGTCAGTCAGGTATATTATATAGTACATATTGTTCTTCTATATATTCTATATATGTGAAGGAGCTAGAAGTCGAACTGTTCCTTTTTTTTTCTTTTTTTTTTCTTACTTTATTAAGAAGAAATATACATTCCACCTGTTTTCTAATAAATTAGTAGTGTAGGAAATATCAAGATTCCTGTGCAACATATATCTGCACAAAAGATAGGTAACATACTTCGTTATACTAAGTTTTGCAACATTCACTATGTATATATTATATCTAATAATAATGTATATTTATTTTAACAGGCAGGGAATTTGAGCTTGAGATTAATATGAACTAATTATAATAATTTTGTATCATATTCGTCATGTACAAAAATCAAATTTAAATTCTCACACTAATAACTGAAAAGAAATACCACTAAATCCTTATTCTAAGTGAAAAACTATTATATATTTAAGTTAAAATATATCATGATCATGGAAGTTACAATAATATTTCTACTTCTTATTTATCACAAATTGGAGATAACTTCCATTTAGCCCATGATAATAATAATTACATGTAAAGTATAAGTAACTTTATCGATTGGAAAAGTAAAAAGTAACAAGCTAAATTAATGTTTGTGCATCTCTAATTGCATATATGTTGTGTGTGCATGAACGAATTGCCATTATGTTCCAAAGCTACAAATGACATAACGGCTCTCTCCTTTTGAGATATCTCTAAAAGATCCCTTTCTAGGCATACATGGCAGTAGTGGATTTATGTGCTAAAGCCATCACTACTGCATTAGGCTCCATCTATTATATATTTGCTTTTCAATGTGGTACTATATCATAATCCATACATAAGACATATTATGCTTTTGCGAATCATTAATTCTGAAAAATATCCATCAACTCGGTCATCACAATATTCTGATCGATGATCCATCAATATGTACTGGGGAATGTTAATAAAGTGACACCACCGGCCCTATCCAGTTCTACCGATCAAGGTTTTGCTTCTCGATAGTCTGTATATATCAATGAAAATTGAAGTTTCATCATAAAATTAATTGATAATATAAGATGTAGCTTAATCTCTTATAAACTTTTGCAAGGTTTCTCCTTACCAATGTGACACTCCTTTACCTCACATTCTCACACGCCCCCTCACGTGTGTCAAACATTCAAGTATAACACGTGGACAATACGAACGGAGTGACATGGAGCATGTATGGCTGTTGCGCTTCACACGTGAGTCAACTTGTTCTGATACCATGAATAAAGTTGAGGTTTCACCATAAAACTAATTGTTAATATGAAGCGTAGCCAACCTCTTATAAGCTTTTGCAAGGTTTCTCTTTTCACCAATATAAGACTCTTTTACCTCACATTCTCACATATATTTCCAATTATTTAAAGAGTAATCCCTATAAATATTATAGTAATTCATCGTTACTAGCTCTAGACTTAGCTTATGGACTTTCGGTGTACGCAAAACACCATTTACGGTTATAATTCCACTTATATTGTAAATTTGTTAATGTACATTTTCAATTAAATGTATCAATTCTATCGTCTATCCATGTTATTATTGACACACCCCGACCAAGATCTAGGCATGTTGGCCGTCACGTGATGGTAACGTAGCCATGTGCACAGTGTGAAAGCAATAAGGATAAGAAATATACGAATAAATAAAAACCAAAAGCTAACTAATGTGCTCTAATAAGCAGAAAGTGCTGGGAATGAGATACAAGTGTAAATACACCTAATCAGAGCGTAGAAAGTCTAGGTGCAGTCCAATATGACAAGTACTAGTTATATAGTACCATAAGAGGTCCTACGGATATTATATTTTGTCATAACCGCCGAATCCTCAAATGCCACCACAGCAAGTCTACCTAAAACCTGGAGGGGCGCAAAACAGAAAGTGTGAGTGAGCAAAAACAAAGCTTTTCAAAATCATTTCATTATCAAAATGCTCTAACCCCTCGCCGTAAAACATGTATAATTTCCCAGAATATAGAATAAATATATACATATCTCAAACCATGCTCAGAAAACGATATTCATAAGTATGCCATGCCAAATATCTCAAAATAACAGAATAAGTAACTCAGGTGAAAATGAATTCATGAAAAATAACATATTAGCCGGAACTCCTGCAGAAGTTTGTACGGCTGAATTCATAGCTCATTAGTCAATCTAGCCGGAGTCACTACAAGTGACCTATACGGCACTACACTGCACACGAGTCGGAACCACTGGAAGAGTCTGTACGACAAGACTGGGTGTAATATAGTTATGCTTAATGCTACGCTCTCATGATAGCTGTACGATAAATCGCTAGTCACCTACGAGTCGGAACCACCTATAATGGTTTGCACGACAAGATTGTGCACCTAAATTGGATCCAATGAGAGCATAAGGTGCGAGAGGTGACATCATAAATAGGCCTATACCATATATCTGGTTAAATCACAATCACTTGGGGTGCAAGTTTATGAGCTCAATATTTCTCAATTAATCACAACCGTTATTGACATTCACAATTCATAAACTCACCTGGGCTTACCTGAGCATCCACAACACTACAATTATATATTATGCATCATAAACTATTTCATATTCTGAATATAAATTTATATGCATGGCATTTCAAAGCATACTTTCATTTTAACGCATTTTCTGGGAAAATATTGAGTATATAAATATATACTTAAACCAAAAGCCCACTCACTGGTATGTCGAAGGGTCGTAGCCCCCGAGTCGTCCTTGACTGCGCTTGTCCTCGGGATAAGTCTCCCCTATATGCGAAACAACTATAAAAACGTTAATTTAAAGCACATAACCAATACTAACTAATAACTTCTCATACAATGCTCAAATGAGGTATATAAATATACCATCATGACCTACACAACTCCACGAACACATCCAAAATTTTAAAATAATTTTTGGAGCCCTCACGCATCGGCAAGGGCATGGCCCTACACACGGCCATGCGCAGGAACCCTAACAGAATCCCTTAACCCCGTTAGGAATATTCCGTTAAAAAGTAACAAAAACCGTTAAACTAACCACCGCTGTTAGGAATATTCCGTTATCCCCTACCTTCGAACTCTGGCGACCGTCGCCATCGCCGGAAACTGGAAAAACTTTAAAACCTTGTATCTCAGTCATTTCTTAACCAACATTCATGAAATTGGTCTCAATTTAAAGCTTATAACTAGAAGAACACATCCTTACCAAATTCAAGGCTTGAAATCCACGAAACTCGCCGGAGAAAGCTCGATAATCCGGCGAAAACTTAAAACTCATCGAACTCGATTTTCCGACGTCCAAATTATTTGGTTTTTCTTCTCCGAGCTTCATGAGGATGATTCAAAGCTCCTTATGCCCTTAAAAACTCCTAAAAATCTCACATTAATTAATGCATGAACAGTACCTAAATCGGAGTTCGTGAGAAACTAAGGTTTTTGAAGGTTTTAAGTCCAAATAAAGGTATAAATCGACTTCGAGGCTTGTAAAGAGTTTGAATGTTACCTTTAAAACCTCGATCAGTGCCTGTAAGGGAAAGTTTGGAGTTCGTCCATACAAGGTTGATGGGAACAGAAGAAAATCAAGAGGGAGGAAAGAGAGGTCTATGTGTTTGTGTGGTGTGTACGTTCAGCACGTGTGTGTGTGGCCTACATTTCAGCTACACACACACAATCACCAAACATTTCCAAAATTTTAATTGGTTCCAAAAGCTTAGGAAACCTAGATAGGATAAAAATCTAAGTACATACCACACACAACACAATTTAACGTTCAAGGGCAGAATAGTCATCTCATGTCATCGATAAAATTTTATTCCGGAATGGGGTGTCACAATTACACTTAGAAAATATAGTGCGTGGGAAAGCGTTCTACACACACATAAAATTATCTGCATACTCAGCTTAATTTAGTCAAACATTAAGGGTGCAGTTTTGGTTGGTACGTACTTTCTAAAGCTTAATTAATTAAGTAAATGGCTGAAATTGAGGAAAAGAGGGGAGTGGCAGGGCATAATGACATTACCTGTCTGGGTCTGAACAAGCCTAATTAACATACACAGGGCACATTGGACTGTGTTTTATATTTAAGGGGTAAGAGGTAATTATCTATAAACAAACATTGGGGACTTGGGCGTGCAGATATGATGGTGTTTTGCTTCCCGGCAACCCAAGAATCGAAACACAGCGACGTGGGCTTTAATTTGTAGGAACTAGGAAATCGAAAGACTTATTTGTCGATATACCTTCAACTCTGTAGATCTGTCAATTTTTTTTCTTGAAGATTAATTTTGTTAATTATCTCCATTGAATTTTATAAATAGACAACTTCTCTCAGGACTGTAGATTTTGAATTTTTCATTCAATTCTTTTTCTATCTTAGTCACGTGGATAATACATGGTAATTGTATGAGAGCAAAAGGTAATTTTGTATTGATAAATTGGGCAAAGAGTCAATATTTTGCAACTACTAATTGGATTCCCATGGCTAATTTAAACAAAAAAATGTAATGAGTCAAGTGGCAGAAGACAAGAAAAAAAAGAAAATAGCAATTTTGATCTCTATGTTAAGGAATAAAACTACTTTATTGCCCTTAAATATTTGCCATGTTACCAAGATGGATTATAAATTGAATGAAAAATTCTAAAATCTAACGTTATAAGAAAATTGACTAATTATGAAAATTCAGAAGATAATCGGTTAAAATTAAAATTTAACAAAAAAAACTAGTAACTCATTACAACTTCGAAAAAGAAATCAACAAATACCTCAAATTTAGAATATGTAATTATGTATTCCCTCCACAACCCATGTGCTTCCCACTCTCTCTCTCTCTGGTTCTCTTGTACGGCCTCTGATTTGTCAAATGTAATTGCTTCCCCAAAGTCTCAACACATCTAATTAGGTTTGTTTATTGAGAAATGCTAAATAGATTTTTTTTTAATTTAAACTTTCTATAAATTCAACGTCACTTCATATTTTTTGTATAATAT